TGACGATTGAGAATCACTTTTGGAGCCAGGGAAATGAAGGCCAAAAGCAAGCATGATGAGTTTCTTGATGAGCAAAGTGGACTTTAAAACTTCTGGACTTAGGAAAGGTTTAGTGGATAATTTCACAAACCTGTTTGGCAGAGTTTAGTCATCTTTTAATTAGGAAATTGATGAGATAATAACTGTTAGTGGAAATATGCCAATTTTCTATTTTATATCATGGTCTGAGTTTTGATGGAGATTTGGGGAACAATCCAAAGGTCCCTTGGCAGGAATAAAATTGGAGCTTCATCTATTATATCTGGTGGTCTTAATTTGGGGAAATTCTGTTGTTTCCTGTTTAATATTTGGGCCATTGATGAAGGAGTGATAATTCTTATGAGTACTTAACGTATATAATAGTGCAGACTGTTGTATTACAGAAATTACTTCAGTTAGGGTGTATAGGATGGAGAGGTAAATCAAGTATTGTCTTTGCTTCTGTGGAGAATGAAGTTGAGCCTCAAGGTTGATTGAGTTGTTTACTGTCACATGCTAAAAGATAAGAGAGGAGAAACTAGGGACAGGTTTTCTCAAGCTTAAACTGCGTCTGTTTTCTGTCATTTGTGCTACTTAAAGTATCGGGTGGCCACCACAGAGCAAAGGACGATGGTGAGTGTTCGTTGAAGAGCTTGAATTGAATGGAAAACAGAAGTTAGCATTGTACCAAGCTGTCCCCAGGCTTAAAATATACTGTTGTTCAGTCTCTGAGTTGTGTCTGTCTGTGACCTCATGAACTGCAGCACACCAGGCTTCTCTGTCCCTTACTATCTCCTGAAGTTTGCTCAAACTCATGTCCATTGAGTCGATGATGCCATCCAGCCATCTCATCCTCTGTCTCCTCCTCCTCCTATTCCCCTCAATCTTGCCCCACATCAGGGTCTTTACCAGTGAGTAGGCTCTTCACATCAGGTGGCCACAGTATGTACTGAAGTCTTCTTTTAATCTGTAGGTGGTTACAATGAAAAGCTGCAAAGAGCCATGCCACAACATTTGAGTCTAATTCAGGGGTTTTATAAGGACTCTACCACTATCTGACTTGTTAATTTGCATATGAAATTAACCTCTGATCATCATTGTCAAATGGATCTTAAAATTGTTGATGTGCTCAACTTGCAGAACTGGCTTCAGAATAAATACTATCATTAGGATACTTGGTCAATCCCCTAATGCTGTAAAAGTGTATGATATTATGTATAACTCACAAAATTGAATGCTTATTGTAGTATGTAGCTTAATTGCATATAAAAAGTACAAATCACGTAGTTAAGGCCTTAGTTCCTTGGTTGGACTTCCCCAGTGGCTCAGCATTAAAGAATCCGCCTGCAATACAGGAGACGCAGTAGATACAGCTTCCATCCCCGGGTCGGGAAGGTCCCCTGGAGAAGGAAATGGCAACCCACTCCAGTATTCTTGCCTAGGAAATCCCATGGGCAGAGGAGGCTGGCAGTCTGTGCGGTCACAGAGTTGGACATGACTGAGCACGCATGCATGCAAATTCCTTGGTTAAGAAATACCCACACACTTGATATAAAAGGGAGTTTCTTTTTCTTTCCTCATCCTTAGCTTCTCTTACTCATTTGGCAAACCTTTATTAATCTCATAAAGCTTGCAAGGCAGTGAGCTGTGTGCTGGGAAGTAGATGGTAGTAGAACTGGGTTAGCATGTGCTGCTTCTGCTGGTGGGAATATAAATTGGTGTGAAAGTGATGTTTCTCGGTCATGTCCGACTCTTTGCGACCCCATGGACTGTAGCCTACCAGGCTTCTCTGTCCATGGGATTTTCCAGGCAAGGGTACTGGAGTAGGTTGCCATTTCCTTCTCTAGGGGATCTTCCCAACCCAGGGATCAAACCCAGGTCTCCCTCAATGCAGGCAGACACCTTACCATCTGAGCCACCACAGGAGCTAGCCTGTATAAAAAGCAAGTTGAGTAATATATTTTGAAAGTCTGAAAAATGCTTATATTACTCTGATCCAGGAATGATACTTCTGTGACTGTATTCTAAGGCAGTAATTAAAGGTGCACATCAGGTCAGTTGAGTACAGTGGTGTCGGATATGGATTCCTGGCCTAGGGGTAAATACTACACTGGGCTTCCCTGGCCAGGCCCCACCTCCAAATGAGTCTGTCTATGTCTTCCCAGAGCCAGCATCCTTTCTAGTTTCCCAAAGGCATCCTTCAGGCTGGCAGAGGTCCTGATGTACATGATTTATACAGAAGGATGTGTATTGTCAGTAATAGTAAAAAATTGTAAACTACTAGAGAAGAATGAGGGAGTAAATAATCCTGTATCTTTATAATGGAGTACTATGAATTTGGAGGTAAAGCATTAATGAGTTGAATGTCATGTCAAAATGTTCATAGTTTATTAAAGTGTGAAAAAGTTATAGAACCAGAATGTCAGCTTCAGTGAGTTTTGAAGTACCTGATAACATTCTGCTGAGAAGTTGCAATTGATGGATTGAAACAGGTTTTGAAGACTAGAAAGGACAAGATGTATTTGATAGAAACATGGTGTTCTAGATAACTTCTAGAGCAAGGAATATCTTTCAAGGGATAGCCTATTATGATTTCATGATATAAAACAGAAGAATTATCCTCTGAATTTCAGGAGAATATTTGTTTGTCATTGTCATATTAAAATATTGCATTTATGTTCTGTTGCTTCTTAGTGGCACTTCTAGTAGTGGTGAAAACTGTACAGTATATTAGGGGATGTGTGTTTGAGTCAGAAGAGGCATATCTTTATAATCTAGAGGGAGAGATGAAAGGAGATCGGGCAGGAGGAAGAAAGAGTCATTGCTTGATCAATTGATTGATTTAAAACTGGAATGAAATTAAAGGCCTCTTCATCTTCCAGACCAAGCCCATGAAACATATACATTCTAGTATATTTCTTTTAAGGCTTTTTGAGTTTCCACACATTTTCTGCTCAGATGTGTGGAAACACATTCAAAGGCAACATGGCTGGATACTCCCTGTGTAGGCATTGGCACAGAATGGGTACTGCTTAAGAACTCTAAGGCGTATCCCCTCTGAGTTTAATTCCAAGTGAAAAAAAAAAAAAAAAAAGAACTGTGCCTAATAAGCTGGCTTAACTGAATGCCAAAAAAAATTTTGCCTTGTGAAATGGAAATTCTGAAGCAAGTTACATAATACTGAGAGAGAATAAATAGGAGGACTTTTGAGATGTATCCAAATGGGGCAAATGGTGTATTGTAATCAAAACTCTCCAGTCCAGCGATATTTAATTCTGTTTGCTGAGATCCACATGGTCTTGGGGATTTGGAAGCTTTTAGATGCAACATAAATATTTACTTTATGTTTGTTTAATTTTTAAGTAGTGACATATTTTAACTCAGATCAATTTTTAAAAAGTTACTTGGGTATTGGCCAAGATGGAGTCACCAACAAGTATTCATGTTAATTATTCTGCACATTTGTATCAGCTATAAAGAGGTGAAAGGAGACAATTTCCTCTGGAAAACAATGTTTCTTTAACAGTCTCTTAGTTACTAAGAATAATGGAGCCAGCTACTTCAGCTGAAACATTTGTGACTTCTCTTTCAGATACTCACTTTGCTTTTAAACCAGTTCTGCCATTTTACCCCCACCTTTCTCTCCCTGTTTCATCCCTCTTTTTCTTCTCTCCCTCCTTTATCTTTATGCAGATTTTCATACCTTGTGCCCAGGATCTGTCAGTAGTGTCCTAGCTGGAGTCCTGCCTCTGTTTCTGCACTTCTCCATTTTCGCCTTTCCATGGCTGTTAAAGAGGAGGCAAAGGCCAAAACCGTTTTTTAGCTATCACTTTTATTATGTCACTCCACTAATCAAGAGCTTAAAAAAATTGCAGACTCAAGATTTTCTTTTCTTTCCTCCAATGGCAGAATGTTACTAACATGTGCAACATTTTTTAAATCATTTTTTAAAATTGGAGTATAGCTGAAGTGCAATATTATACAAGTTACCGGTATGCAGTATAGCGAGTCACAACTTGTAAAGGTTACACTCCATTTATAGTTATAAAGTTTTGTCTATATTCCCTGTGTCATACAACATATCCTTGTAGCTTATTTTATAATAATAGTTTATGCTTCTTAATCCTGTACCACTATATTGTCTCTCTCTACTTCCCTTTCCACACTGATAACCATTAGTTTGTTCCCTTTATCGGTGAGTCTGCTGCTTTTTTATCTTCACTAGGTTGTTGTATTATTTAGATTGCACATGTAAGTGTTATCACCAGTCTTTCTCTGTCTGACGTATTTCCCTAAGCATAATACCCTCCAAGTTCATCCATGTTGTTAAAAATCGCAAAATTCCATTCTTTATGGTTCAGTAGTTTTTCGTTGTATATGTCTACCACATCTTCTTTATCCATTCATCTGTTGATGGTCATTCAGATTGCGTCCTTATCTTTGCAGTTATTTGCATTATTATAAATAATGCTGCCATGAACTTGGGGTTCATATATCTTTTTGAGTTAGTGGTGTTTTTTTTTTGTTTGTTTGTTTTGTTTTTGGATATATCCTGGAGTGCATTTACTGGGTCATATGGTGGATCTAATTTTAGTTTTTTGAGGAACCCATTGTCTGTACCAATGTACATTCCCACCAACAGTATACAGGGTTCCCTTTTCTCACCCTTGCCAACATTTGTTATTTGTTTTCTTTTTGATGATAGTTATGCTAACAGGTATGAGGTGATATTTTATTATGGTTTTTAATTTACATTTCCCTGGTGATTAGTACCTTTTCATGAGCCTGTTGTTACCTGCATGTCCTCTTTGGAAAATGTCTACTCAGATATTCTGCCCATTTTTAATTGGGTTACTTGTGTTTCTGATGTTGAGTTGTATGAACTATTTATATATTTTAGATATTAACCCCTTAGCAGTTCTCATTAAGTTTTTGTCTGCTTTTCTTTCAGGATCAATGTGACTCTAGAAACAAATGGATGAATGAATATCCATATGAAGAGGAAAACAATAAAGGTTGGTTAGTCAAATTGTATAATTGCAGTGGCAGTCCTATTTTGAACATTAATTTGGGCAATTATTTTCATTAGTGCACTGCTTTGCCTATGAGGCAAAGGTCAATGCTTAGACACATTCATCTGTCTATAAAGTGTAATTTTTTTTAAACCTCTAAGTATAAAAAAATTACAAAGAAGCTAGACTTTTTTGTGCAAGTCAAGCTATCATCAGTTTCCAGAATCAAAACTGTTTTAAGAATCAACTTTAAAATGATAATTAGAAAATTGAAACTGATCACTGGGACCAAAAAAAAAAAAAAAGCCAGATTTTCCTACCACAAGCATGATATTCATCTCAGCCCTGTATGGCATCTGATTGCTGTCAAATGCTGTCCTCTTTGCACCTGCAATCTTGGCTTTCTTCAGGGATAGGATAGGATGACAATGAGAGGCTTTTAACTTTGGCTTTTTCATAGCAAAGGTCAGGTATAAATTGGAGGGTGGTAAAAAAAAAAAAATGCCATGAATTTCAGTAGTTATCAAGTGCTGGCTATCACTTTGTGGTATTTATTTAAACTTACCTTGTACTGCATACTGGTCATAATACAAAAATCACACATTAATACTAAGAAAATGGCAATATGTTAAACCATTTCTATTTCCTAAAGTCTGGTACAGAGGCATGTGACTCATAACCCTATATAGCTGCATAGCACATACAACTTCATACTTTCCTCCTTCCATTCCTCCCGCTACTTTCACATAAATATACATTATGTCTTTCTGCCAGCTCACCTTCACGTGTGTGCATGCTAAGTTGCTTCACTTGTGTCCGACTCTGTGACACCATGGACTCTAGCCCACCATACCCTCTGTTCATGGAATTCTCCAGGCAAGAATACTGGAGTGAGTTGCCATTCCCTTCTCCAGGGGATCTTCCCAACCCAGGGATCAAACCCAGGTCTCTTACGTCTTCTGCATTGGCAGGCGGGTTCTTTACCACCAGGGCCACCTGGGGAGATGGTGCTACTTAAAAATGATTTTCCAGATTATATCTTTCACTTGAAACTGCCTTCTTCCAACTCAACTTCCATTCATGATAAGAAATGTTAACAAATTAGATCTAGAAGGAACATATCTCAATAAAGGCCATATATGACAGGCCCACAGCTAACGTCATGTTCAGTGTTGAAAGTTTGAAAGCTTCTCCTGTAAGATCACAAATAAGTCAAGAGTGCCCACTCTTACCACTTACATCCAGGATAGTACTGGAAGTCCTAGCTAGAGCAATCACATAAGATGAAGAAATAAAAGTTACCTGAATTGGAAAGGAAGATGTAAAATTGTCTTTATTTGCAGATGCCTTGATTTTATATAGAGAAAATTTTAAAGACTCAACCAAAAGACTGATAGATGATCAGTGAATTCAGTGAAGTTGCAAGATACAATATCAGCATATACAAAATTCAGTGGCATTTCTGTAAGCAACAAAATTTCTGAAAAAGAAATAAATTGATTCCACTTAGAGTAGCATCAAGGGCTTCCCTGGTGACTCAGATGATAAAGTGCCTGCCTGCAATGCGGGAGACCCAGGTTTGATCCCTGAGTCGGGAACATCCCCTGGAGAAGGAAATGGCAACCCACTCCAATATTTTTGCCTGGAAAATTCCATGGATGCAGGAGCCTGGTGGGCTACAGTCCATGGGGTCGCAAAGAGTCAGACGCAACTGAACATCTTCACTTTCACTTTCTTTTCACAGTAGCATCAAACACAATAAAATACTTAGGTATAAATTTAACTTAGGAAGTGAAAGATCTCTATGCTGTAAACCACATGACATGGATGAAAGAAATGGAAGAAGACAAATAAATGGAGAAGTACTTCATGTTTATGGATTGGAAGAATTAATACTGTTAAAATGTTAATATTACTGAAAGCCATCCATAGATTCAGTGCATTCCATATCAAGATTCCAGTGACATATTTTATAAAACTAGAAAAAATTTCTTAAATTCATATGGAACCACAGAAGACCTTGAATAGCCAAAGAAGTATGGAGAAAAAAAAAGCAGGGGGGTGGTCTCACATTATTCTTTCTGATTCCAAGTTATACTGTAAAGTTACAGTCATCAAAACAGCATGATGCTCATAGAGCAGAAACCAGCAAATAGGCCGGTGGAACAGAATTGAGAGCCCAGAAGTAAACCCAAGCATATGTGATCAACTAATATTTGACAGGGGAACCAAGAATACTCAATGGAGAAGATGGTCTCTTCAATAAATGGTGTTATGATACTTGGATTTTCATGCGTGAAAGAATGAAATTGGACCCATATCTTACACCTGTTACAAACGTTGAATCAATCAATTACAGACTTTAAGACTTGAGACAAAGAAACTCTTATAAGAAAACATAGGAACAAAATTTCTTGATATAGATCTTGCTAATGTTTTGGATATGACACCTAAAGTACAAGCAACAAAATAAACAAATGGGATTATATCAAACTAAAAAGTTTCTTCACCATAGGAAACCATCAAAAAGTGTAAAGACAACCTACAGAATGGAAAAAAAAATATTTGCAAACTATATATCTGATGAGGAAGGGTTTAATATCCAAAAATATAATGTTCACTTGTTACTCAATAGAAAAAAAAAACCCCAAATAACCAAATAAATGGTCAAAAGTCTGAATATGATATTTCTCCAAAGAAGATGTATCAATAGCCGGGTTCATAAAAACATGCTGAATATTTAGGCATTTAGGAAAATTTAGGCATTTAGGGGAATGCAAACTAAAACTACAGTGATATAACATCACACACCTTTTAGAATGACCATAAGTAAAGAGAGAAGAGATAATGCTGGTGTGGATGCAGAGAAAAGGGATGTGTACGCTGATTGGTAGGATTGTTAATTGGTGCAGTCACTATGGAAATTTTATGGAAGATCCTCAAGAAATTAAGGCCAACTACCATGTAATCCAGCAGTTCCACTTCTAGGGAAATATCTAAAGGTAATAAAAACACTCAACAAAAGATATTTGCACCCCCAATGATCATTGCAACATTATTTATAGCAACCAAGATATTGAAACAACCTCTGTGTGTGTCAACAGATGAATGGGTAAATAGGATGTGCGGTGTGTGTGTGTATATATGTATGTATATATATAAACACATATAATGGAGTATTAGTCAGTCATTAAAATGAGGAAATCCTACTATTTATGACAACATGGATGGACCTTGAAGGCATTATACTAACTGAAATAAAGACAGATACAAATACTGTGTGATCTCACTTGTATATGGAATCTTTAAAAAAGAAAAAAAGTGCCTTTTTCCTCCCTTGCTAAAATTTCTCCTTTGTAATATTTGTTTCTGGAAAATACTCTAGAAGGGAGTATCAGTTCAGAGATGATACAAGGGAGATTTCTGGGTGTGTGGTAATGTTCATTTTTTATGAGCTCATTATTACCTATATAGATGAATTAACTTTGTAATAACTGATTGTACTGTGTACTTACTTGTATGTGGATTAGTGGTGTGTTTGTAAACTGACTCTAGGGCTTTGGATGTGAAGGCCTGATCTGAAGTGTTTGTCAGTTCCTATGGTGTAAATATTCCCACCGGTTTCAGTGATTTAAAAAAGAACTTGCAAGATTCTTAAAATTTAACAGTTGGCTCTTATGAGCTGGTGATGAGCTAACTCCAGCAACTACTGATAATTGCATTTATAATGTAAAGATAAACAGTTTTCTATACTCCTGAGACAGATAGGGCAAATGTAAATTTAAATAGTCTCAGCTCATTCCTCTGTCAACGGGGAAATCTTCACTCATTGTCATACAGAAAGTTATCACTTTCCTTATATATGAATTTAATACTGTATTTATGTTTTTGTTCAGTTATTAAATTTTTATGTTTGAATGGATCAGTGTTAAGTTTTGTACGTTTATACATTTTGACAATGTCATTGTTCTGTAACTAATTTTATGACAACTAAGGATGATGGCGAAGAGAATCATTGTGTTAATACCCTGAGGATAAACTGAAGATACTCTCTTGATTAGCTATAATATATTATGTGTGATTCATTCTAAATAATCATGCCTCATAGCTCATAATTCATGAGTTCAGAAGACTTTATAGAGGGAGGCACAGTGAGTATTTCACTTAATGTGTTTGTCCCGATGAATTACGTTATCATGCTGTTTTTTATATTTTTAAATCTGTGTTTTCAGTTATAGAGGCTTTAGAACAAATTCATTGATACTTGTTTTTAAACCTGCTTGGATCAGGTGGTGTTAGTTTTCATAAGGTCTGATTCAGAGACAGAATTGCAGTTTGGAAATTTATCTTTTCTGTATTTCACATATATTCCCAAGGTCAGTTTTAAGATGACGTTTTTAAAATGTCAGCAGTGGATGCAACATTTCCACTGTCTACATAATTGAAAAGGGATTTGAATATGGCTCTTAAAACTATTTTGTACGTTTCCAATTTGCCAGTGGTGATAAAATCTTTCCAGAGCTACAGAGTATGATGTGGTGCCTTTCTGCTTAGGTTCTAACATTTAAACAGCCTGAATAGCATTTGTAAAATTTCTTTTGTGGCCATATCAAGAGTCTTCTAGAAGCAGTCTTCCTTTCCCTTGCCCATCAATGAATCAATAATGTATAAATATAAATATATATAGTGTATAAATATATATTTATATAAAATATATCTATATTTATATAAATTCACATTAAATTCTTTAGTCAGTTTTTAAATTCTTTCTTTTTTGTCCCTATACCATCTGCCATTAGATAATATTAAATAAATTCTAAAAAGATTCCAGTTATCATTAATTTCTACTCCCATATCTCAGCATAAAACCTGGTCTATAAGCTCTTTAACATATTTTAGCAATTTCTCTCATTGTAAATGTTTGTGGACCTGACTCCACAGACCTGACTTTGCTCCACTGTTTTCCAGCCATTTCAGTATGTTACCCAGTACTCTGAGCAGCT